TCCATCGTCTTTGCGTGGGCGGACTTTTACGCACTGCTGACATGCAATCTGCGCTTGTTCAGTCGCAACCTTGGTCCTTTGCGTGTCCTGTCATTCATTGATTCAGCGGAGTATTGTGGAGACGCATCCCGCCCCAGCTTGGGCCCGGCAATTTGCCCGCCATGTTGTCCGACCGATTAGTCCTTGCTCTTACGAGGTCCACCAAGATGGAAGCTGGGCGTGGGCAATTTTGCAATGATCTGGGCTCCGTCTTTGTTTGGGGAGTAAGCTCTGTGTGCCTCCGCCTTTCTTTTTCGTTTGCGATACCCACATATGGCAAGCTGGGCCTGGTGTGCAGCGGGACTAAGACCTAGCTGGTTAGCCAACATGGCATTTACATGTTGGAAAGCTGGGCCTGTACCAAAGTGCTTGTGCTTGCTGGTTGGTGACATTGGCACGCGCCCCTTGCGCGAATTCAACCCAATGTCTTACCTTTCTGGCATGCTTGTTCTCCTGGCAAACTCCATGGCTGGCCACAAAGGTCTTTCTACCTTTGGTCAGAAGCTTGCACACAGCCGATGGCTTTGCACGGCAGGCACACGGCAGCAGCATGCTTTGGTATTAATTGCGCATCTGCCCTTGCGAGACCCACGATACTGGGAAGCTGGGCCAGTTTATCTTCTGCGCACTTGCCACTGGAACATGCTGCTTTGTGATGCTTGTATAAAACCGCTCCTTCCTGGCTAACAGGACACCTTAGTGAAGCTGCGATTTGAAAGGCCGAACAATCCCTGCTGGCCAAGTCTGCAAGTCGCGGCCGGTTTCACCTTTACATGATTCTTTTGTACAGCTCTTTGTTGTATTCTTGTAGTTCTTGTTGTTCTTACTGGGACCAAGTGCAGCAACTGCTGTCTTTGAGGCCCGCCCACGCCAAAAAAGATAGGTGCGCTAGGCATGCCGGACTTTGTATTTGAACAACTCATATATATACCGATTACCTTGTGGCTGGTGCATGCGCGGGATGCCCAATTATGCCCCTTCAGTCCGCTAGCGCACCTTCGGGAGCAGCTAGATCGTGGCTTGCGCGAAGGAGGGGGGGGACTAGTTTGGCTGACAGGAGGCACGTCGAGGGAGATGTTTGGCTCAGCTGGCCACGGATATGGCCATTTGCTCGGACGCTTGGAAAGTTTACCCTCGGAGGTGGACACTGCGAGGTGCCGGGCCCTGTTGCCGCTTGTCAATGATAACCACGAGTTGCACCTGGCCTTGCAGCAACTGCACCTGTTCCGATTTCCAGTCTTCAGTGACTCGCCCCATATGCAGGTCATGGAAGCGATCTTTCCGAAGGCGGAACTTACCGAGCCCACCCTTGCGAACTTACAGGAAGCCTTGCCAAGCGCCCTTTGCACTGAGCTCGGCGCGCGTCAGCCGCCTACGGCGGAGGCTATACATCGCCTCAAAGCTTGGCTACTAAGCACCTTTCAATTGCACCACATCTCGGAGGACGGTGGCGAGACCTGCCGGCTCCCGGAGCCTGTAGCGCGAGTCTTGCTGCGGCAATCCTTGGCCAGGGTAGTCGACTTTCTTTACTTCCACCTCTTTAGCAAAGGTGCCACCCTGGCGGAGTCGACGGAGGAGGGGAGGCGGGAACCGGATCGACACTCTGCCTCCAGGGAGCGCTTGGCAGGGAGCCGGACGTTCCAAGTGTTTGCCGTCACTGTTACCGCGGTGACATGTACTAGCTTTGGTGCATACGTCCTGAAGATTATGGCGTCATCTGACTCAGGCGATACATGCAATTGGTTCTCCCATGTGGACAGGCAGTTCCCCTTAGAGGGCTCGGTCGTTGTGTTGGAGGTAGGTGGACCACCCATCAACCGGCTGGTCGGGATCTTTACGGAACTCCATATCTCGCGGAAAAAGCGTGAAGATTAAACTATGCCAAACATCTCCGGAAGCACAATCCCAGTTATGTAGAGCTCCTGGTACAGGAATGGCCACATTTTTGGGGCCACCGCCCGCCATGCATCATTTGCCCGCTGTCACCCTGCCTTATCACCGATTGGTCTGCTTGAAGTCCAGCGGCGGCTTAGACTTGTTCAAACGGGTCCTGGAGTTGCCGAACGGCCGCGTTCCCCTGTCGCTTGGTGTGCCTACTCCCAACGCCTCCAGGCCTATCTCACACACCGGCGCGCCCTTTGTTGACTTTCCTGCAGGCGTGCCGGATCTCGGTGGCGGAGGACTTGTTCGACCCGGAGAGAGCAGAGTCCGCCTCGTGGGCGTCTCAGAGGAGCGATCTCCAGGAATTACAGGTGAAGCCACATTCGTGGCGTTCACAGCAAGGGGTTGGGCGGTCATGGGAAATGCCACGGGATGCAGTGACCGAGGTTTAGTTTGAGGCGGCCAACATTAGAGGGCGAGCCTTCTGTGAGCTCATCAGTCGCCTACTTGACGATCCGGACGGGCTTCTGTTGGCGCACATTCAGGCCATCCTTGTTGCGCGTGGCACCAACCGCACTTCCCTCAACATTTTGGGGTGTCCAGGAGCACCAAGACATTTTCCCTCTTATTAGCAGTCATGTGCATCGATGCCGTATTAGACTTCCCAGTGGTGTGGACGTCCCAGCAGCACGCGGCTTTGCTTGCTGTGCTCATGATATCCCACAACGTGCTTGCGGATGCGCCTGACTGGCTGCGCCGTCTGCTCGTTGTTCGCAGGGTGTCGGGCAAGCCAAGCAGGAGCTGTTCTCTACAGTGCATGATCACGTCCCTCTGGCTCATGGGGCGGGCGCCAAAGGCCATGGTAAAGGGGGGAGTCTGCTGGATACGTGGCTCTCTGCACGGGGCGTGGAAGAGCCTGCGCTGCGCTGAGGCGCGCATCCTTCTGATCACCCAAGGTTCAGGGGCGCAACAGCTGGGACGGTGGCGGTCCGAGGTACTGCAAGCCCTTACCCGCTGTCGTACCCTCGTTATTGATGAGGGTCAGCAGGAGGGGCACGCTGAATCGGTGAATGTTACTGAAGCAGCTGCAGACGTTCTTCTCATCCGCACTGGAGACCCAAAGCAGCCCACAGGAGGAGGCGGCAACGAAGTCCAGTTTGCTACCATCGATCGACTCCTGCAAAAGCAAGTGGGCATCCGGGGAGTAGCCCATGCACGGCTGCCGTTGATTCAACCGCTGCATGTGGGACGTGCCACGAGCAAGCTGGTGGATGCCACTCGGCTTGGGCCCATCCGAGTTGGAGCCTTCAAGTGTTTAGCGGACGCCGGTTGTAGTTGGGAGTAAGACCGTAGTTACCTACGTTGGAGACGCGGGGAAGTGTACAAGGAGAGCTGAACCTGGAGGACGGTGCCCGGTCCCCTGAAATTGAGCTCCGGGAAGAATGGGCACGCTGGCTCTTCTTGTCTTCAGGGACGCCCCTGCGGAGAGAGCCTGTGATGTGATAATCGCGGATCGGGTCCTTCGCGTCCCCTACGCAGCCTTGCTCCGTGTACAAGGGCAGCCCTGCTTCGCCAGCCAAGGGATCGCTGAGGATGACATTGCGGTAGCCGTTGCGCCTGCTGAACATCTAGGGCCTAGTGGAGTCCTCACGTAATCTGGCAGCCACGGGTGCTAAACTCAAAATGGCGCGGAGCACTTTCCAGGCTGAGGGTCTAGAGGCGATCAATGGAGTGGCGTTCAACCTAGGTCTGGTTAGCTCCGCTCGCCTGTTAACTGAGGTCTATCTTCTCATCACGGCCGTACGCTATCCGCAGGCCGTGCACTGGCAGCTGACGCCGGGCGCGCCCCCGGGCGTGCCGGACATTGGCCGGCTGGCAGCTATCAACAGCGCCCGTGAGGCAGCTTGCCTGGACCCCCGTGGCCAGTGGCAGCCGAGACTCCGATTTTTGGAAATCCCTGAGTCTACGGCGAAGGGCCGCATCTGGCACTCGGACAATTTGAGGCAGCTCCTGTTAGTGGTCCTTACCCATCTCTACATCACGCAGGGGCACAGAATCCGTGCCTATGGGAGCCAACGCCTAGTGTATGAAGTTCTCATCTACAGCCGTGGGGGGGGGGGTAAAAAGGGGGTTCGCGTAATTCTCATGGGGGGGTTCACTGAAAACATGGTGTTTTTTGATCTACACACGTACCCGAAAATTTTGGGCCACCGGACAGGCATTTGATATCGAAACGTGACTTCGGTTATTGGACTGGAAACTTTTAGGGTTTGAGTCTAGGGTCGACAAAATTGTGTGGCTTGCGTTGTGTTTTTAAGTCTTGAGGTATGTTGTTTTGTGGGATGTGTGTGATGTGTGTGTTCAGCCCCTCGTCAGATGTCAGGTCGCAGCCGTATTTTACTCGACGACAACAAAACCCTAAACCCTAGGCCCTAAACACCCTAAACCCTGAACCGTCACAAAACCGTTGTTTAAACCCTAAATCCGAAACACCTTAAGCATGGAGCCTGATTTGGAACGAATCAGCACACCAGAAGCTACCAAGAAAAGACGGCAGTACAAAAAGAACGAGGCGGATGCCGCTCGTGCTGCTCGGCGTGAGCCGCCTGTGTTCGTTCCGTTTTGTGCAAGTGACATAGCTGATGCAGAAGTGTCTGGTGAAACTGTGCACTGTCTCGGGGTCCACTACTTGGTGGAGTTCGCAGAGTCGCTGCAGAGTGCTCCGGATGCGTGTGCGGCCGGTGAGTTGGCTTCGCATCAAGATGCGTGGATGTCTCGACCTTTGCGACGACGGGACCGGGAAGCCCAGGACTCGCAACTTGGGAAAGGTTCAGCCGGCCAATTTTGTAAGCTGCACGTCGCCAATGTGTTTCACTTCCCGGCCCGGCGGTGCATTTTGCGAAAGCAAGATGCATTCCCCGGCAAGCAGATCGTGCAACAGCAGCCTGTGTCCGAACTCTGCCGACAGCATATGAGAGCCTGCGGGGCTCCGCAGGAATTGTTGAGACCTCGGCGCTCGGTGAGTTTTTGGAAGGTGCCGGTTACTTGTTCTTGCCGTACCTAAAGGGGTTTGTCGGAGCATGGGGTTTCGGACGTTTTCCGAAGAGCCCATTGCAGAGTCTGAGTCTGCTCCGTCTGCTCCTCCTGAGCCTCAGCCTCCTTCCGTGCTATCCCTACTTCTGCAGCCTGCAAACACTGCAGGCCCCGCTGAGGCAGGGGACACTGAAGAGGCTCCTGATGGTGCCGGTGTAGGGGACGATGTAGCGGATCTTCTTTGGGATGTGCAGGTCTCGACAAAAGGCAAGGCCATCCGAAGGCGCCCCATGACCGAGATTCTGATGGGAAAACTCTGCTATTCCTTGAGCTCCACAGCGGCCGTGGCTGAGGTGGTGCAAACTGTGCTTCGAATGATGGATGTGCTGGCTGAGAACACGAACCAAGAAGACGTGAATCCCTCCAAGAGCCACGTGCGAACGATTCTCGTGAAGCTGGATTGTTTGCACAGCTTGAGCCGGAGGGTTTTCGCGAAGCCGAACCAGCCAGATCGAAGAACGGTCAGGTTTTTGTCGGCAGACAGCAGTCCGCAAGCAAACTACGACTACTTCCTGGTCACAGAAGAATTGATGACTAGAGACAGTGTCCATCGTGTGCCAGTGGATGCAAGCGGGCAAGTAGATCCGTGGAGAGGGTTCGCCGTGGAACGGAGGACCATGGTAGTGACCACCATCGCTCGAGGTGAGAGCTCGGCAGCTCTGAAGACCATGCGAGTTCTGCACATCATATGCCTGGAGAACACAGCGGTTGCTCTCCCACAGTATAGAGGTGAAGTGAGAGTTTTCTTGTCGGATCAGGGAACGGAGCGGTTGATCTGCAAATACCCCTTAGATACTGCAGCCAACGTCAGGGAGGCAGTGCGGGGATTTGCCAGGGACACAGGAGCTGCCGCCGCCGCCGCACATGAGAGGGTGCGAGCACTACCTTTTTTTCCGGAAGCCTTGGAAATACCTGGTTCTTTGCACGTGGTGTTCAACACCCTGGAGGCTGTAGTGCTAGTGTACCTGAGTTTGACGTACTGCACAAACAGTTGAACACATTGTGCAGACTTCTCACACCCCGCAGCTACCAAGAAGTAGTCGAGGTTAAGATGCTCGATGCGGGGGCGGGCACAGCAGCAGACAAGCAGGCGTTGCATAGCTTCCGCGACAACCTCCTCGAATGGAGATGGGACAGTTTGCATCGTGTCCTGAGCCAGTGGGCCCCTCTTCGGTTGGTGCTTCTGAGGCACTGGAAGCCGCATGAATTTGGTGATAGTGCGGCCATGATCACAGAGATCCTTGAAGATAGCATGCATGGCTGGATGGTTGTGTGGGCTGGGAAGTTCGCGGAGGCGGCAACCCGGCTTGCACATTGGATCGAGGGATGTGCGTGTCATCAGGATTTATTGGTTTCCCAGCCAGCCTCCAAACGGCGAAAGACAATGATGGAAGAAACTGGATCTGCCACTTGTTGCTGGAAGGGGAAGAGGCTTCCAGAGCTGGCCTGCGGGAAGATGACGGACCTCATCCAGTACTTTACAAACCAGGCCCGCACAGAGTACATCTCGGAGATGCTCGCTGCACCGGCTGATGTCCGAGCACGTGTTACGGCGATAGATGCACTCGCGACAGAGCAACTTCGCGTGGTCCTCGAGCAGAAGTTTGCATATGCACAGACCATCCCTTGGGTGCTCTGTGCAGCATATGGGGGGTACACTGGCATCCCCTGGGCTCGTTGCAAGGCCGCCATTTCGGAAGGCTTTCGTCAGTATTCCCAGGCGACAACAGGTGGTGCTTTTGTGGATGCAGTGTCCTTTGGAGCCTTTTCCGGTCAGACGTTGGAAAGCCGGCAGCTGAAAGCTTTTGCAGACTCGGAGTTGCCCCTGCACCATTATGCCGAGGCGCGGACCATGGTGCAAGAGTATTCTTTCTGCAGCCTCGCAGAGCGAGGCACAGAGAGACAGCACTCCGAGATTCGCAATGCTGCGAGGAGAGGCCAGCGATATGCCGGCCCTGCGGTTGTTGCGAGCCGGAAGCGAGAGAAGCAGGTCGTGGCCATGATTGATGATCCCCAGCAGCTGCAGTTTCTTGTAGCACACTGGCGTGATAGGCAGATCTGGGAAAACCTGCTTGAGCATTGCTTGCCGAAGCAAACAGTCAGGCGAATGACAGTTGTGCAGAGATTGGCGAAGGTGTATGCATACCACCCAGACCAGCACTTCATGGACGTGAGCGAGGAGGCAACTGCCCAGGCCGTGTACCAAAAGGCGTTGCTGGATGCCTCGGCTGCTGCCCGCACGGAAGACTCCGTGCCGTTGAAGCTGGACCCAGCCCCTCATCAGATTGTGCACTTCCTGAAGAGCCATCTCCGGAACGGCAGCCTGGTGTCGCTGGGTGAGGAGGCCTTCCAGCTTGCCCTCCGTTACACACCCAGGCAGCCGGAAGAGGAGGCAGATGTGCCATGCAAGGAGATGCTGTCTCAGGACTTGTGGCTGAGCTTGCGAACAGAAATGGTCGTGCCAGCAGTTTCCTTGGATCCGTACTTTTTCACGGTGCTGGATGCTCGACCCGAGCAGCGGAAGGATGTTCGGGCGGATCGGGGCCGCAGCAAAAGCAGCATACTTGTGATGTTGCACACACATGTCCGAGTTCTGTCGGACACAGAAGTGCGGGTACAGTCCAGCGGGAACAGGCAAGAGTTTCTGGAGCTGGCGAGCTTCTGTAACCAAGCACGGATGCAGGTGTTCATGCATTCGTGCCGGGTTTGGACTCCGAAGGCTTCCGACGTCAGCTTGAACGTGTTGACTGCAGGTGCATGCCGGCAACCAGACCTCGTGCCCATCCCAGATTTCATCCAGGATCATGAGCCTGCCGCAAGCTTCAGCAACCAGCTTCGGCGGAGGCAGGCCGACATGCAGGTCGTCGAACACGAGCCGGATCGTGTACGAATTTCTGCTGAAGCCATTGTCCTCTTGAAGGCCGAGGAGGATCTGTTGCATGAGCTTCTTCGTCACGGGGCTTTGGGAGGGCGTTATGTTTCGGTGGATGATTTGTCGGAATTCAATGCTGCTGCTGTTCAGAGACTGCAACAACATGGCATTCTTTCGGGTGAAGAGGGGGCATTCGGCGACTTGACCTTGAGCATCACCAGCAGCCTGCAGCTGCTGCCCGAATGCACATGGTCCGAACCATTGGCGATCTGGGAATTGAGCCACTTCTTCTTAACCCGGGGAAAGGTTGCCCTGACATCCAAAATAGAATATTTCAGGTTGCTTTTTAAACAGGGGTGGAAGCCCCGCTGCGACGACGAGAGTGAGTTCTTTGAGTGGCACTGCCGTGATGCCACTGCGGAGTTGCCTGCTCAGGGTCTTGGCATGCCGTTGCCATATCTTCGCTGCTTGCTGACTTCTGTGTTGTTGTGGCAGAAGCCGGGCAACCTCCAGCGAATCTTGGTGAACGGGCCTTCGAAGTACTATGAGTACCTCATGAGCTCGGCCGACCTGTCTGCAGTGGCAAAGTTGACGGCTGAAGAAATTAGGCAGAAGTTTGCGGGCGCCCGCAAAGCACGTGCCACGGATGCTGTGGACAGGGCCTTGGACAACGACCCAGAGCAAGAGGACGGATACGAGGTACTGGCCGCTGCTGCTGCGGGTGTCGCAGCAGGTAGCGAGGTGCCTCCGTCCGATCCGGAGCTCTTGCAGTTGAACATGCCCAAGGAAAGCAGCAGAGCCATCGTCGTGAATGGCCGGAGCTGCCACGTGTATTTTGACAATTACACCCATGCCTCCGGCCAGTTGCGAGCTTTTGTGCAGTGTGACAGACATGTCAACTGCAGGTTGTATGTCTTTGTGCACAAGGTGCATGGCAAGGGTCGTGCTGTTGCCTACCTGCAGCGTTGGTTGCAGGAGGCCTCAGCCTATCCTGGTCTAAATGGCGACAGGCACAAACAATACAAACCACCAGACACTGAAGTAGATGCCCTCTTGTTAGCCCAGGCCGTTGCTCAGTAGGTAAGCACGGAACAGTGACGAGTCACGAATCACGAGGTCATGCTGCTGGCACAAACATGGTTTCGCCGCCGCCTGTAGTGTTCTGAGATTTGAGATGATGGTGTGCGATGGCGTGGTTTAGTGTTCTGAGGTTTGAGATGATGATGATTATGATGATGATGTGTGTGATGGTGCGGTTTAGTATTCTGAGATTTGAGAGTGATGGTGCGGTTTAGTGTTCTGAGATTTGAGATGATAATGTGTGATGGTGTGGTTTAGTGTTCTGAGGTTTGAGATGATGATGTGTGGTGGTGCATTTTCAAGGACCCAATTAATTTCTGTTGCTGCAGATTTTTGGCTATAGCCTTGGGCTGGGGCTCTTCATGACTCCTGCCCCCTGGTGGAGCTACTGGCCCTTGTTCTTTGAGGCTGGGTGGGGGTGCGGTGAGGGTGTCAGAAAAAGGGTTTGTGGTAGTTTCCGTGAGGGGGGCTTAGGCTTGTGTTTCAGATGCTCCTGCATCCAATGGGACTGGCTCACCCCTACCGCTGGGACGTCTTTGGCGACAGTGGGTGGGGCGGCTGGCTCCTACCACTGCGGCGCCTTTGGCGACAGTGGTTGGGGCGGCTGGCTCCTACCACTGCGGCGCCTTTGCCGACAGTGGGTGGGGCGGCTGTCTCCTACCACTGCGGCGCCTTTGGCGACAGTGGGTGGATCGGCTAACTCCTACCACTGCGGCGCCTTTGGCGACAGTGGTGGGCGGCTGGCTCCTACCACTGCGGCGCCTTTGGCGACAGTGGGTGGGGTGGCCAGCAACCCAGGATTCAGGTGGCAAAGGCCGTATGTGATGTTCGGAGTTCAGGGGTTCAGGCCAGCAACCCAGGATTCAGGTGGCAAAGGCCGTATGTGATGTTCGGAGTTCAGGGGTTCAGGCCAGCAACCCAGGATTCAGGTGGCAAAGGCCGTATGTGATGTTCGGAGTCATGTGCCTGTACTAGACACCTGTGCAGGCGATGCCGGAGCCAAAAAACAACGGAGGAGGCTCGATGAAGCCACCAGAGCCGGCGAACCCTCCGAAAAACCACCAGCGCCAGGCTGCTAAGGCTCAGGCGATCCAGGCCTCCGACTCGGAATCCTACGAGAGTGAGTCGGAGGAGAAGAAGCGGCCAGGGAAGGCTCCTGAGGCTTCTGAGGCGGTGCCACCTTCAAGCGACGATGACATCGCTGACCGCCGGTCGCAGAGGCGGGACCAGCAAGATGCCGCAGTGAAGACCAAGCACCGCGAGAAAGACCGCGGCAGAGACCGTGGCAGAGACCGCAGCAGAGGCCGCAGCAGAGGCCGCAGCAGAGGCCGTGGCAGAGACCGCAGCCGGAGCAATCGCAGCATCAGCAGACGCCGTGGAAGCAGTAACGGCAGAGACCGCAACCACGGTGGCGGCGGCGGTGGCAACCACAGTGGCGGCGGCGACAACCACGGTGGCGGCGGCCAGCACGGTGGTGGCGACAAGAAAGATGGCCACAAGCACGGTGACGGCGACAAGCCCGGTGGCAGCGACAAGCACCGTGGCAGCGACAAGCACCGTGGCAGCGACAAGCACCGTGGCGGCGACAACCACGGTGGCAGCGACAAGCACCGTGGCGGCGACAACCACGGTGGCAAGCACCATGGCTTTGACAACCACGGTGGCGGCGACAACCACGGTGGCGGCGACGGCAAGCCTCGTGATTCGAGCTTCTCGCTTGTGAGCAGCGGATCCGGCGGCAAGAAGGGCGGCAAGAAGGGCGGCAAGAAGGGCGACAAGAAGGGCGACAAGGGGCCAAAGGGGGGCCGTGGCCACAGCCAGCAAAGGGACCCCGCCCAGCAGCCGCAGAACGAAGACGAGGAGTTTGGGCCCTTCAATGAGATTGGCATTGCCAAGTTCAAGCTGTCCGAGCTGCCCCGCAACAGGCGGGGCCGTGTGACCTGCCCGGTCTGCGGGGTGCAAGTGCATCCCGACGGCATGAGCCTCCACCTCATGCATAACTCCCATTGCCTTAACCGCCAGAACGGTGGGCATGCACAGAGAACTTTCGTCTGCGGTTGCGGACGAAAGTTTTGGACGGAGTGGGACCTCCAGCAACACAGTAACCGTTGCACTTGGGCAGCGGGAGAGACTGAGCCGGAGGAGACAGCCGGGCCACAGCAAAGGCCAGTGCGCCTCAGGAGCCGTTCCCGCCGATCCTCGCCCTCATCGCGACGGGCCCGCAGCAAGCCGAGAAAGGATCCCGGCGCCGATGATCAGCCGGGCCCGGGCTCCACAGGGGACTCCTCCGACCGTACACTCGGTGACCGACGCATGGGTCTCCGAGTGTATGCGGATCTTGTCTCGTTGGGGAAGGATTTGCTGCGATAGGCCCGGGACAAAGGCAGGGCTTTCGATGAGGCCCGGGACGGAGGCATGGAGATCGGCCTTGGTCGCGGGCCGCAGTCGGGCCGCAGCGGAAGGGTTGTAGCCTCGTTTCACGAGCTAGCTGAGTGACTGAGTGTTCAACGATGGTTTTAAGCTTAAAACAGGTTCTCGAAAGTTGTGTTGTGTGAATCAAGAGGCTGTTGTACTCCATCAAAGGACAATATAGGACACAAAGGTTGACGCAGGGCCCCTGTGAGGAGTTCGCAGCCCTTTTGCAAAAGCCCGTGAGTGTCGGCGTAGGCTTCAGAAAGGTTTTCAAAGGCTGTGTGAGGCCCTTTCTTGGACTCTAGGAAACATAGGACAACAACGGCTCACACTCGGGCGATAATCGGCGAGATCCGGACATACAGCACTGTGTCAAGGAAAAAAACACGAAATCGCAGAGATCGCATCCGTTTCAGTCGATTTGCTACCGAATTCCCGCCGAGTTCCCGCCGAGTTCCCGCCGAGTTCCCGCCGAGTTCCCGCCAGTTCCCGCCGAGTTCCCGCCGAGTTCCCGCCAGTTCCCGCCGAGTTCCCGCCACGTTCCCGCCAGTTCCCGCCAGTTCCCGCCAGTTCCCGCCAGGTTCCCGACAAGTTCCCGACAAGTTCCCGACGAGTTTTCGACGAGTTCCCGACGAGTTCCCGACGAGTTCCCTCCCAGTTCCCTCCCAGTTCCCTCCCAGTTCCCTCCCGGGGCCCTCCCGGGGCCCTCCCGGGGCCCTCCCCGGCACCCTCCCGGCTTCCTCCTGGTTCCATCCCGGTTCCCTCCTTGGGTTCCCGCTTCCCGGTTTTGTTTTGGTGGTGTTTTGGAGCCGTTGTTGTATGTTCTATATCTCAAGCCTTGTTTGCCTGTGCAGCTGGTTGCCAGCACAAACAATAGCCTTACGTGATGTCCCGCAGCAGTGCATCGCCAAGATCCTTTCTTGAATTTGTAGGATGAATAAGCGGAAGCGTGGTGCCTCGCCTGAGGCCGCTCGTGCGGCCGGAGCTTCCGCAACGTTGCCAATGGATGTGTGCCTCTCTATTTCCGGAGGCAGTGCAGCGGCTGCGAGAGCAACTGGATCCAACGGGTCCGGCTTGGGCTCCCTCGCAACGGCTGCACCAGCAACTTCGTGCGCCTTGGACTCCTTCGCAACGGCTGCAACGGCAACTTCGTCGGCCGTCGGATCCGCCGCGGGGCAAATCTGGCAGTGGTGTTGGAAGAAGACAGTGCAGGACGGCGGCGAAGTTGTGTGGTGGTGGCGGTGGTGGTCAGAGCCACGTGTCTGAGCCACTGTCACAAGCCACACAAGCCACAAAGCCACAAGTGTGGACCGTGTGGAGGCGAGACACGAAGTCACGATGTGAGTTAGTGTTTTTGGTGCTGAATGGACAATCCATGACAGCCCCACGACTAACAGCCTGATGTGAGCATCCATAGGAAGCAGAGAATTCAGCTGCATGCTCTCCGATTGCATGACCCAAGGCAGTGAATGGAAAATGCAGCATTTGTTTTGTTTATGCAAAGGCGTGCCAGGTGTTGAATGAGTGCAGAGACCAAGACCACCGTCGATTCGGTTCACAGCTTGGGGCTGAGACAAGACTTCAGGGTTGGAGTGTGTGGTGTGTGGCTGTGTGTCCTGTCCATGGAGGGTGCATGTGTAGCCGCAGAAGAAGCAGACCCTGCCACAGCTGCCGCCAGGCCGGGTTGGTCCCAGCTCCGGCAGCAGCTGTGGGAGCTAGGGGCTGTGTTTCGAAAGAGGAAGCACGTGCCCTTGGTGTCTGAGCCTTGTGTGGGCCTGAGCCCATTTAAGACCTGGGTACAGCAGTCCCTTGAGCCAGGCGACTTGCACAGTCACCGTGCCGTAAATTGTTACGACACAGACACTGGCTTGCTGGGTCATTGGAAGGCTGTTCCAGGTGCACACATAGGGCCAAAGCACTCAATAACAGACGTCCCCCTCGACAAGCTCGAGGATTCGGAAGGGCTCGTGGCTGGGCCACCATGCCAGCCCTTCTCCCCAGCTGGCCAAAGACATGGCACCTCTGATGCCCGATCGGTTCCCTTTGACACAGTTGTGAATTGGGTAGTTGAGTTGGGCACCCGGGGTTGTTTGCTCTGGTTTCTGCTGGAGAACTCCAATACCTTGCAGGGGCACCCATACTGTGATCAGGTGATAGACCACCTCAGGTGCTGTTTGCCGTGGTTCTACTTGGATTTGCGTGTGGAAGACTCTGTTGATTGGGGGCCCATGCGGAGACGGCGGACTTTCATCCGAGGCCTTCGTTTGGACTGCTTGCCTCGTGGGTTCCAAGGCCCTTTGCCAGTGGTGACAGTGGACCAGCTTGGCCATGGAAAGCCCGTTACACTGGAGTCACTTTTGCAGAAAGGCTTGCCACCCACCGACCCGAGCATGTTGTCGGTTGGGATGCAAAGGAACCTGCAGAGGTACAAGGGCATGGCATCCCAGTCTGAAGACCAAGGCCGCCCTCGTGTGGCCTGTGCAGAACTGGACCGTGACCCCACGAATGCTTACGGTCCTCGGTTCGAGTTGGGCAAGACCAGCAGCCTCCGGACTGGCGGCCCGGCTCTTTTTCTATTGAGCCTGGAAGACCTGCAACAGACCTGGGATAAACAAGAGCTGCACCGAATGCTCTCCATCCCGGAGAGGTTCTTGCTCATGGGCCACCCGGCAGAGACAGCAACAGTTTTTGCCAGTAGGGCAGCTGCAAAGAGAGCCTCCGGCAACGGCATGCACACGTTGGTGATGGCATGTCTCGTGGCTCCGATGCTTCTGCTGGCAGATCGGGCCGGGGTGACTTCAGAAGGCCGGCCGCCTCCAGCAGCCAGTCCAAAGCAGTTGTGGGACATGGCATTTGAGGACCTAAGAGCCACAGGCAGCATGGGTCGGGTCCACAGGAAGCAAAATTTCCGTAGTCCCAGATCCACAGCCACAGCTGCCAACCGAAATGTGCGTAGAGCCACAGCTGCCACCGGAGAGCTCATCCATAGTCCGAGAAAAGCAGCAGCAGCTGCCACTGGAGCTGCCACCGGAGAGCTCATCCATAGTCCGAGAAGAGCAGCAGCAACTGCCACTGGAGCTGCCACCGGAGAGCTCATCCATAGTCCGAGAAGAGCAGCAGCAGCTGCCGCCGGAGAGCTCATCCATAGTCCCAGATCCACAGCCACAGCTGCCAAGTGAAGGCGTCTCCGGTGAAAGACAGGCATCAATAGCAAAGAAGGCAAGCCGTGGGCGGATGCAGGAGTGTCGCCGGAGAGCTCATCCATAGTCCCATTAATAGTCCAGCACAGCTGCCGCCGGAGAGCTCATCCATAGTCCCATTAATAGTCCAGCCACAGCTGCCGCCGGAGAGCTCATCCATAGTCCCACAAGACAGGCCACAGCTGCCTGCCTGCCGGAGAGCTCATCATATCCAAAGTCCAGCCACAGCTGCCGCCGGAGAGCTCATCCATAGTCGTAGTACCAGTCCGACCAGTCCCAGAGCGAACCGTAGTAGCCATTTGGACAAGTTGGCAGTGCGTCGGTCATGCGGATGCAAAGCCATAGATCTCGATTAGGCAGCCTTCAGCTTCTCATGGCAGAGTGCAGAAGCACAGCTGTCACTGCCGGAGAGCTCATCCATAGTCTGTAGTCAATTCGGTGTCTTAATTTAGTTAATTAGATCAGTGCGTGCAATGCAGGCCTCAGTTTCTTTAATCAGTTTAGCTGATCAGTGCACTTTGTGCAAAAGGTTTTCGATACAGGCGGATGGCATGCTTCATGATGGTGCACTTCCTTCAGTCGCCAGGAAGTGTGTTCTGACAACTAGAGTGTAGGGCTTAGGCTTGACAATGAAATAACAATTGCTGGTTCAAGCAGCAGCACCTGACCGAGACCCCTCTGGCCTGGTGCCCTGGCCCCTTCTGTGCAAGTCAGCGAGACCAGCCATGGATGGGACCGGCGAACTCCTTTGCCGCAAATGCAACGAGCCCACCACTGTTTCGACTTCCCATGCAACGGGACGAAACGAGTTGCTCCGGATTTGCCAGGAGTGCGGCGGCACAGAGCGGATCTTGAACAAGCAGATCGCTCAGGATCGCTCAGGTAGGTAGTATTATTAGGGAGACCCCCTTAACGGGTACCCCAAGGGTCCCCCTAATCCCCTAATCCTAGCTCCCATCAGGCGAAGAGTTTGGCTCAGAAGAAAGCCAAAGAGGGTGAGCTCAATGCTCACGAGGAGGATCTGCTGAACAAGTGCCAGACTGCTGCGGACTTGAAGAAGCAGCTGGGGAAGATGACGAAGGAGGAGCAGCACGAGTGGTACAGGAGTGAAAAGAAGTCCCACCGCCAGGACGGTGGTGGTGGCGGTGTGTCTAAGAAGAGAACATTTGCCACCGCCGTCGGGGTTGTCGAAGACACTCGGCGGGCTTCCATGAGAAACAGCGAGCAGGATAGGTGGTGGCTTGAGAAAGACTGGGTCGCCAGAGAGATGACCTTGGGCCTCGTGAAGAGCTACGAGGATGGGCGGGCGAAGTTCTTGAAAAGGTGTCAGGATGATGACACCGAGAGCAAACAGTTGAGAGGCGTCTGGATGCTGAAGGAGTTTGGTGGCTTGCTGGGCGAGCTCGCACAGGAGCACAGCGTAGCAGGAACTCTTCGCCAGCGAATGGACGTCACAGACCAAAACGAGCTGGCTGTCTGCCAAGAGCAGACAGCACAGAGGCTCAAAAAGGCCGGTGAAAGGCTGGCAACCGAAAAGGCCATGCTCGACCAAGGCATGGAAAACGCCTCGGTGCCGGGACTGCATGTCGCCCGAGACCTCGATCAGCTCAAGCAGGAAGAGGCTCTGCGAGATCAAAGGTGGATGGAAACGGTGCTGGAGAAGCAACAAGCCGACAAGGAAAGGCAAGAGAACAAGGACAAGAAAAAGCCCGTTAGGGCAGTGCTCTTCCTGCAGATCAAGAATGCCCATGCCCGGGAGGAGACCATGCTTGCCTCCGCACACGGCAAGCAGCAGGAAGCCTTCACCGGCCTGAGAGAAGAGACTCAGGCAATGATGGCAGAGGAAGACGAAGGAACAAAGAAAGAGTTCCAGTCAACAATGGATGCACTCGAAGAGGACTTGGGCAAGCTTCTTCAATCCATCCATGAGCTCGCAGCAAACCGGAAAATCAAGGAGGAGGAGATGGCAACGACGGAGGACGATGACGAGCTGCTCAACTACCTGAAGGAGGCCACGGAGGCGTGCAAGAAGGGTCCTGGGGACTGGCCACAGCTGAAGGCGGTGCCTGCGATTGATTTGGAGGTTTAAGGTTTAAGGGGTTTGGGGTTTAGGATTTCAGGTAACGTATGTGGTTTGTAGTGTGTTGGTCGCAGTCGAACCGTTTTGTTGTTCCATTTGTTTTTTGCTCACCCACCAACCCAGGTGAAGGACAGGATGAAGGCCTTCCGAGGTTTGGTCAACGATGCCAAAAAGGCTTTGGCCAAAAAGGACTCGCTGGCCAAGAAGAAGGCAAAGAACAAGGCCCTCGCCGCTGCCACATCTGCGAACGGCACCTCGTCGCAAGCCGCAGCTGACGTCGCAATCAGCCGGAGATGCTGGACTGTGTCTGCTGGATGCGAAAGGAGCTGTTGAAGCCAAAATGGGCGAAGCTTCAGAAAGGCAGCAACGGGGTGTGGTTCAATCTGCAGGATGATATGCTGGATCAGATGCCGGGCAAAGGCCCAGTGCTGATCCCTGCCGAGCAAATCACAGGCCTGCTCAAGAGTGTTCAGGATCTGGTTTACTACCAGTCCCAGAAGCAGTGGTTAGGAGAGAAGATGAAGACAGATGGCAGAGGTGTAACCACTGCGGTGATCGGACGAGAGGCAGTTGCGAAGCAAGTTCTCGGCTTCATCGCCAAGAGCCTGCCGGTGGCAGTCGCTGACCGCCTTTCGCTTCCGGGGGATGAAGATCTGCTGGACCTGTGGAGGCCCATGTTCTGCCAGTGCATGGGCGGCCGTGTGGACACCAGCACAGCCTTCAGCCTGCCAGAGCTGACGGTGCATCTCGAGGGGACAAGCGTTTTCTTCGCCGGCTTCCGTGCCAGCGAGGAAACACAGCTCGGGGACTTCAAAGCCCTCACGTCGCAAGAGTTCCTTGACCGCTGCGAGTGGTTTGCAAACTTGTCCTCCGGCCAGGGCATCGTCCTGCCGCCAGGGATGGTGTACATCATGATCAACACGGAGTACGACGTCGAGAAGGAAGACAGCCCCGAAAGCATTCCAGCCCACATGCTGAAGTTGTTCGTAATGACGGCGAGCTCCTGCAAATGGGCATCGACAAGCCTTGCAAAGGTGGTCGCCCGCACCCCCGAGCTGGGTGCCAAAAGAACAGGTAAACTTCTGAACCACTTCCTCAGCGTGCTGGACTAATGGACAAGAGGTCCATTGTTTTCTCCCCGGGCGTTCGTTGAAGAGGCAACGAACGGAAAAGCTAGGCATGCACACAATCTGTTGGATTGTGTTGCAGGTCAGCACAACATGGTTTCACTAGCAGGCTTGTGGAGAGCCATGATCCTTTCAAGCCGGGTGCTTCTTTCTTCAACTGTTGGGGAACCCACTGCCGTGGCATCAGATGAATCAGAAGGAAAAGTTCGGTTCCATAGGGGGGTCCATTGAAAAGCTAAGCGATTGTTCATTCAAGCACGATGAGGTTTTGGCCCACCATGTTTCGGCTCAAAGTCCTGCTTTCTCTAATTTGAAGACTAGATGATAAGTGTCTGCTGAGTCTGAGGCCACAACCACACAAGGATATGCTGAGAGCACCCTTGTTACAAACGACTGCGTAGTTTGCCGGTGCCAGTCTGGGAGGGTGAAACCCTCACAGCCGAGGCCACCTCCTACCCACGGATGGCACCTCCCCCCTGACGGTGGCTACAACTCCACGACAATGTCTTGGAGTAGTAGCCTCCGTCAAGGCAGAGGTGCTGGCCCGCTGGCTGTAGTAAGTTCCAGCCGCATTGTGGCGGTTATTATGCGAAGTCGATGATTTCGCATAATATCCGCCACCATGGCAGCTGCATTGCTCGTCTGGCAAATGGACTGAAGCCCGAGCTTCGATCAGCCATGATCGCATGCCGGCTGTGAAGACTGCGTGCTGCCTCATGTGTTCGATTGCGAGGATGCCCAGACAGCCAACATGGTAGGCTTAGCATATGCAACTGTTCTTCGGCAGTGACATCAGATGAACTCGATGGCCTGAAAATTAGTTTCGATTTGTTTCCATGGAGATGCTAAGCCTTTGCTTTGTGTTTTCTTTTTGACCCCCGAGGTTTTGGCTCAAACTCCTGTGTCACAGCTGATGTCTAAGATGAAGAGAAGCCTCGTAGTTGATGAGGAGACTTGGGACTCTGTCACGAGAGATCTCGAGAGCCGTGAAGCTGTGAGCTTTTCGACTCCTGAGACACCGGAGCAAAAGCTCAAGGTGAGCCGTGATTCGACTCCTGAGACACCGGAGCAAAATCTCAAGGTGAGCCGTGAAGCTGCGACTTTTTCGACTCCTGAGACGCCGGAGCAAAAGCTCAAGGCGGAACTGGAGAGTGCGAAATTTCGGATGCAGCTGCAAAAAGATCTGATCACTGCAATGCGTGCAAATATTGATCAGCTCCTCGAGGAGCGAAAGGCCCGAGAAGAGCACATCTGGGTCCTAAAGCAAAGGATTCACCAGCTGGAAAACTGTGCAAAGTTTACCAGTGACATGGTCGGAGGGCTGAACGAAGACTTAGGTGAACTGCTCGGCGTCTTGCAAAAGACATCAGCTTCAGAGTGCGAGGAAAGTTGTGTCATGGATGTAGAGGTGCTTGCTGTAGAGGTGCCTGCGTCAGATCCAGAAGAGTTCCCCGAGACCCAGGTCATCCCTTTCCAAGGGATGGCCCCTCCGGTGTTGCCTCCTGCGATCGATTGCGGTCAAGATGCCCAGCCGACTGACACTCTGGATACCATCATGATGGCTCTCTGGAACAATTATGCATAAGGCATAACTACTTTTTTGCACAGAGCTCGTGGGGTGAGAGCGAAAAAGGTGCATCACGTGTGTGTGTGTGTGTGTGTGTGTGTCGTGTTTTGTTTAGGCGTCTAGGGGTTCGGGCTTTGGGATTGTGCTCTGATGTGTGTGTGTGTGTGTGGATTTCAGTGGGAATGCTTAAAACAACATGTGAAAGCATGTGTGCCTGGCTAGTAGGCCTGCTCGAGACCCTAGAAGGCAATATCGTGGGTTTTGGCAGGCAGCGATTTTGCACTTGCGTGTCTGCTGGGGTCGTAGCAACCTAGCTGAGCTGACGGGTTTCCCCGGTGCAAGTACTTGGTATGGGAAGTGGCCAGACCACTTTTTCCGAATTTGAATTTTTTATGGCTCCGAAAACGAACCCCCCAGTCGTTTTGATGACAAACTTGAAAATCGCCTCGTTTTTTCCAAACCCCCTACTGGTTTAGCTCGAACCCTCAGGGGGGTTACCACCCCCACGGCTGTAGATGAGAACTTCATAGCCTAGTGTTAGTCAACCCTGCCAATCGACTGCTTTTTAATTTTCAAAGTTTTTTTGTGGGGCTGAGCAATGCAGGGCTCACTGACCAGCACGAGCAGTTTCAGGCGAGTGATGTGCAGCAGGGGAAACTCCTGCAGGAATGGGCTCGGGAGCTGGAGCCCGAACTGCCGATGCCCGCGGAGATTACCTCGGCGCAGCAGGCTGAAGCGGTCTTCAAGTTCTTGGATAAACGACATGCTGAGCTTGGCCCCTTCATCGACCTGTTCTCGGCCACAGCATGCGCCGGCTCTACAGGCGCGGTTAACCTGTCTATAGTTGACAGGGTAGGCGACTTCACCGAGTGCGGCGAAGCAGCGCATCAACGGCTCACAGCGGCGCTCACCAGGGGAACGGGACCGCTTCTCGTGGTGTCCCCTGCGCATGCCACGGGCCTGTTGGCAGTGACGTGCATGCATGCGCGGCTACATGGCTCCTTGATGCAGTGGCAAGCCACCTGCGATAGCATGGGCCTCCCCCCAAGTGGGCTCGGGCCTTGGGGGACGACCAGGCTATGGTAAGAGACTTCCACCGGCAATGGCACATCCAGTCCTTCCCGCCTCTGGTGGATGCCACAGCCCTTCTGGTTGTGGTCTTCGACAAAACACGTGGCCACCATAGGGCTCAGCTACACTTGCGTGGACCCGAGAAAACATTCACGGGCAGACACGGCAGGTCTCTGGAGTCCACTTTCTTCTACCCCGTCTTTGATACCACCGAGCCCTACGTGGTGACCCTGGACGTGGACGCCGAAGGTAGTAGTCTCTCATTGTATGGGTTGCGCGATTGGCAGGGGCAAGGAGTGCGCCCCCCCGCTCGGCTGTACGATGCCTTTGAAGAACTACACTCCCGCAGCGTCAAGGGGCGCATGAAGGTGATTGCCGCGGCCATGGAACAAAAGGTCGATCTACACGGCACGATGTGGGCGGTTGCCTCGCTCCCGGGGAGCTACTACTTGGCACATATAGCCACGGATTACACCACGCAGGAGTTTATGTCTTACCTCCGCTATCGGTTACGGGTGCTGGTGGGACTCGATTATGACCTGGCTTCTTTCCGCTTCAGCGATGCGGGTACGCTTTCCTGTGGTCTAGCTGCGGCGGGGTACGAGAGGCAGGGGCGGGCCGTCCTCAAGCGAGCGGTCAGTGCAGGGGCAGGTGATCAGATGAGCTTTACAGCACGGGATGCCCCTGCATCTTCCAGCTCACGCCTTGGCAAGATGACCTGCTCAAAGCTCTGGATGCGCGCCCCACCCGACATCGCCCCACCCTCACGGGCCTCACCAGTAACGTGGCGGCCGACACGCTCACTGTACAGAGGGCCATACTGCAGGAGTGACGCCAAAAAGCGGGAGCCCCTCCGCCGCCCAGACACGCGGCGGCGGCTCATGTCGAACACCTACGCGGCATCCTCCCATCGCAACAAGATTGCGATGTGTTACAGTCGCTCCCGATGTCCTTGACGGCGGGGTCGCTTCGCATCAACGTTGACCAGTTTGGTTGTGACATATGCAGTTTCGCGGACAGGGCAATGCGCCAGCGATGTTGTACAGAGGAGGAGGCATGGCGACTCTGCGTCACTCCGCTCATCGCGATCAGTGCAGCGCTGGCAGAGCTTTGTGAGCCGCTTCAACACCTTACGGATGATAAAGCTTATGACTTCTCGTGGCGCGAGCTTGCAAGGCCTCAGGTCTGGTGGTGGCTGCTCGTTGACGAAATGGTGGCCCAATGGCAGCATGCAGACCAGGCCACTCTGGACACCACCATGGCGAGGGATGGCAGCTTTATTGTGATGGCATTGGGTGGCCCGGGACGGCATCTCTCGCCACTCCAATATTGTAGCGCCCTTCTTCCGGTGCAGGTGCTGCTGTTGGTCGTTCGGCTACTGGTAGATCGGCCCCAGTCCTACCCGCACTTAGAAGTGGCGGAGGTGTTCCGAGACCGCGACCAGCAGGCCGCCGATAAAGGGCCATCGGTGTCCGCCTCTGGGCCACCTTTGCAGCTGGTGATATTTGCCCCTTACAGTGGCAAGTGGGGGCGCGGCTTCGGAACATGGGCGGCTGGCCTCTTGGCTAGCGCCCTGGCCAGAGTACGGCAGTGGACTCAGCAGGGAGGGTACGATCTACAAGCCGCGTTGGCCGTTTGGCTGCCTGGGCCCAAAAGAATCACGATGTGGTATCCGGAACGCTTCTACTTGATGGGGAGTCCGGCCGCTTTGCGGAGATCGTCCGGCGAGACTTTGCCGATGTCCCCATGGGCCTTCGCACTGACTACCCGCCGTACACCCTGGAGGCGGGGCTCCGGCTTGAAGACTTTGTTGCCGCTGCCCCGGGCAGTTTCGGTCGCAGGGAGGCCTTGCGGGTGGCCTCGACTACCAGTTTTTGGGCCACAGGTTGGTGCCCCAATACCACAAGGCTTCGCCGCGCTACTCGTACACGAGCCAGCAGCTCCTCCGCCGCCAACAGGCTTGTAAATGGACTTTTTTGTACACTCTCAATGATGAACATATGGAAAATCCGGAGCATTTCCGGCAGATCCTATGGGACGTTGCCGTACGATACTGGGAACGCTATGCGCCGCATGTCCGTCTGACCTAGCGGATGTGAAAGTGCAGCGCGAGTGGTCAAGGGCCTTGCTCGCTTCGACCTTCGCGAAGGGGCCGCTATAGGCGACGTGCCGCCACTTGCTGCGCCCACTTGCCCTGGCCTGGCCATTCGGCTTTGCGGCGAATGTCACCGGATTGTAGCCCTTGCTCTCCTGCCAGGCCGCCGACCTGTGCCAACGCGAAGTGCGGGAGATAGAGGATAGGTAGTGCAGTGACAGCCTGGCCATCCTTGGCCTGACCAGCCCTGGC